AGTGCTCACTTTATATTTTGTATGAGTCAGATTTTTAACTTTTTAATAACTACATTTGACAGAGGACACTGTTAGCTGTGGCAAATATGGGCACTCAGGTGTTTTATTGAGCAATGGATATCAGTAAGGGGGTGGAGCAGGTGAGGAGAATGGTGGGTGCTACACGTTCACTGTAGCTGACAGACAGGTTCATGAGGACATTAAAAACACCTCCTGGGGACTCCCAGATATAACTTGGTGAAACAAATATTCCACCCAAATTTACTGGTTTTATCTTGATTGTAAGGGCAAAAAGAAATCAGAAGGAGGGGCTGTCCAAGTTTCATTAAGACATTATCTCAAAACTTTTTCATGAAAATTTCTAGTTGGGTATTTTTGCCAACTCTAAATCAATTTGTCCACGACCAAACTTATTATCTTTCCCCTTAAACGTACTCCTCTCATATTCTCTACTTTATCGAATAGCACCTGTGCTTACCCCATCTGCCAAGTAAAAAACTGGAAAGTCATTCTGGGTTCTTCTTTCTTCTCCAACCTTTCTATACAATCGGTATCCAAGTCTTACTAATTCTATCTCATAAACATTTATCCTTTCCTGTCCCATCTGCCTGCTACAGTCTTCTCAATTAAGTTTTTTGTTGTTCTTGTTGTCATTGTTTTGAGACAGAGTCTCACTATATTATTATTGCCCAGGCTGGAGTGCAGTGGAGTGCAGTGGTGCAATCATAGCTCACTGCAACCTCGAAGTCCTGGGCTCAAGTGATCCTCCAGCCTCAGCCTCCCGAGTAGCTGGCATTGTAGGTGCATGCTACTATACCTGGTTACTTTTTTGTAGAGATGGGAGGGGGTCTCCCTTTGTTGCCCAGGTTGGTCTTGAACTCCCAGCCTCAAGCAGTCCTTCTGCCTCAGCCTCCCAAAGTGCTGGGATTATAGGTGTGAGCCACCATGGCTGACCTCAAGTCAGTGCTTTGTCACCTCTTTTTTTCTGAGCCTCCTCACCTGCCTCTTGTTCTACCATTCTTATCACTCATTCTTCCAGTCTAGTTTATCTAATGTTGCCAGTTTCATCTCATTAAAAGAAAATTGTTATCATTTAACTCCACTGATTAAAAACCTTCTAGAGGAGCCCTTGTGGAAGTAGAGTTAGTAGAACTTGATGACTGAGTAAGTGATGCAATCAAGGGTGGGGAAAATCAAGGGCTTCTTACTGCCTCTGGGATAAAGTCCAGGCTCTTAGCACCTAAGCCAATTCATAACCTGGTCTCCACCTACTTTATCAGCCTCATGTCCAGGCCTCCCCAACAAACATTCTCAGTTACATTACACTTCTCACAATGTTCTTTCATGCTTCTTTGCCTTGCACACTGTTCCCTATGTCCCAAATGACTTTATCTCTCTTCTCTGATAAGTATACTCCTATTCACCTGTCAAACTCCTCCAGGCAGAATTCACCAATGTCTCCTTGAATTTTGTGGCCAAGATGCCTTACTTATCTCACCCTAGTCCTGACTCCTGTAGACCTTAAAAATACCCCTATTAGATAGTGTTAAGCAAAAGAAGCAAAGTGACAAAGCATATATGTAGTAGTCTCCTATTTGTTCAAAAAAGAAGGAAAAAGAACAGTCATATGTTTGCTTATCTTTAGAAAAAGAAACATAATACAAACAGAAAACAACAAGGTTGATCACTACAAGAGGTTGGAAGAGGGAGGAGAGATGGTACAGAAAGGATATGGGAAAGAGTGATGGCTCGGAGCATGAATTATTGTATAGTTTTGACTTCTATAAGCATATTCAGTAAGAATGGGAAGGGGAAAAAACTAAACTGAAGCAAACTGAGGCAAATGAACCTCACTGTACTTCTGATTAATACCATAATCTCACTTAAAGAAAGGAGGGAGGGAGTTGGAGAATGAAAGGACTGATCCCAGTAACTTATTAACCCCCAGTCCTAGGTGAGGTGTGGGTTGTGAGACAATCAGAACTGCAAAGGAATCCTGAACTCCCTTTAGTAGGTTTGTTTTACATAGTAGTATGGGCAAAATAATTCTGAAACTACTCTATATGTGTCATAGGATTGAACAAATGAGTAAATGTGTTGATGTAGTTGGGAGTGAGAGTTCTCACTGTGAAAGAAGGGACATTCCAATATAAAATGAGGGAAGGTAAGAGAGAACCCTGTGAGGATGGATTGGAGTTGGAAATATTGGTCAAACTCATGATTTCTGAAATATGTACATATATTGTTAGGGTGGGAACTCACAGTGTAGGTGAGAAAGAATTCTCGACACAAAGATTAGAATAGTTTTAAAGAAAGAAAGTTTATTTACTTCCCAAGGGAGGGGAAGGGTTCAGCATGGACGAAAAAAAGGAGAAGTGCTGGCCCCAAATTAGCCAGGCATGGTGGTGGGCACCTATAGTCCCAGCCACTTGGAGGCCGAGGCAGGAGGATTGCTTAAGCCCAAGAATTTGAGGTTGCAGTGAGCTATGATCACCCCATTGCACTCCAGCCTGGGTGACAGAGCAAGACCCTATCTTGCTAAGGCTAAGAGGCTCAAGGATTTTATGGGGGAAAAAAAGGAAGAAAAAAGTGATTGAGGTCAGCTGGTAGCAGAAAACAGCTGTGCAATGGCTGCATCTGTTTTTCCTTTTTGTTTTTGTCTTCTCTGTGAGGCTGGCTTATCAGAGTCCTTGGAATGTGGTTTGGCAAGAGCTGGGGCTAGAAGATTGCACCCCTGCTATCTGCTCAGGGTTCTTCAAGGCTGTTAAAACAAACTCTTAGAGAAGCCACAGGTGGTTAATCAAACAAGGGGCTGTTGTGCTGTGATCTTTCCCTTCAAAGGGACAATTATGTGCTGTGAGCGTATTCCTCTTTCTGTTAGATAGTTTATTTTTCTCATTAGATTGTTTATTAGTAATGCCGTCCTATCATATATGTGTATATGCATGTTTACGTGCTCGATCAATAAGGGAGGGAGGAGGGTTATTGCTTAAAGTATAATGTCAAGTGCCAACTGATTAATGCAGAGAGAATTCTAGTGTAGGAAAATCAGGGTTTTGTATGTATCTTAGTAAAGATTGGATCAGGCAAGAATCATCAAAGTATGTTAAATTTAGCGGGAATTTTTTTATGAGGAGAAGGACATTTGCCTTGTTTTTAGGGTATCTTCCCCATAGAATTGCTTATTACTTTCAAGGGAGAGAAAAATAGTAATTACACCACAGAGAAATTGGACAACCCCTTGACCAGGTGATCAAAATTAACATCACCGGCCAGGCGCGGTGGCTCACGCCTGTAATCCTAGCTCTCTGGGAGGCCGAGGCGGGCGGATTGTTTGAGCTCAGGAGTTCGAAACCAGCCTGAGAAAGAGAGAGACCCCCCCCCCCGTCTCTACTAAAAAATAGAAAAGAAATGATCTGGACAACTAAAAATATATATATACATAAAAATTAGCCAGGCATGGTGGCACATGCCTGTAGTCCCAGCTACTCGGGAGGCTGAGGCAGGAGGATCTCTTGAGCCCAGGAGTTTGAGGTTGCTGTGAGCTAGGATGATGCCACGGCACTCACTCTAGCCAGGGCAACACAGTGAGACTCTGTCTCAAAAAAAAAAAAAAAAATTAACATCACTAATGAAGGACGGATGAACATTATGTGCCTCCAAATGTGATACCCTGAGAAGAACACAACATCGTGTGTGGAAGATTCCAGTAAAGAGTACATAACTTTGAATCCATATGATGGAATATTATTTGGCCTTTAAAAGGAAGGAAATGTTGACACATGCCACAGCATGGATGAACCTTGAAGACATTATGCTAAATGAAAGATACCAGACACAAAAGGACAAATATTTTATGATTCTACTCACCTAAAATAGTCAAATTCATGGAGAGAGAAAGGAGAATACTGGTAACTAGGGACTGGGGGAAGGAGAGAATGGAGAGTTATTAATAGGTACAGAGTTTCAGTTTGGAAAGATGAAAAAGTTCTGGAGACAGATGGTGGTGATGGTTGCACAACAATGTGAATGTACTTAATGCCACTGAACTATACAATTAAAATGATAAATTTTTATTTTATTTTAGAGACAGGGTCTTTCTCTGTCACCCAGGCTGGGTGCAGTGGTGCAACCATAGCTCACTGTAGCCTTGAACTCTTGGGCTCAAGCAATCCTCCTGCTTCAGCCTCCAAGTGGCTGGGACTCTAGGTGCCCACCATCAAGCCTGGCTAATTTTTATTTTCTTTATGTTTTATCATTTTATTAGGAATAATTCCAAATGGGTTATGAAGAGAATTTATTCATTGAATTTGATGAGTTTTCCAAAAACTCTTAATTAAGATATGTTCACCAATAAACAATAAAACATCAGAAGAACTATCATATACTGGGCAAAGAGTCAGGGTGATACCAAAAGCAACATGCAACATAAAAAAGATACAATATAAAGGAAGACAATATGCTGAGTATTAAAAACCATCTCAATATGAACTCTTTGCAACCAGCACAAAACTAATTAGCTATCAAATCCAAACTATACAAAGGTAGGTTTGGCTGATGGAGGCCAGGAGTCAATATGGGAGAAAAAGTAAGTTCCTCAGTGCAAGAGAGCTGAATAGTGTTTTGGAGCATTTCCCTGGCTGGTACAAGCAGTATTAGAAAATCTTTTTGGCAAGGGAGAGAAATAAATACAAATGGAATGCAACATTTTTAAATCAGCAGACTGTCCCAGGAATGATAAAGGTATCAGTAAAGTAGCAAGGGGATAACTTTAAAACATTATTTGTTGTGGACTCAAAAAAAAATTCGAAACATTTCTTTAGAGGTTTCAAAATAGCTATGTCCAGGCGTTTAGGCCAAAGGGAGGTAAAATTAAAAAAGGACACTTTTTTCCTTAGGAGAATTTTTTTAAAACCAAGCATATTGCTAAATAGCAACATTATACTTGGTAAACAATAATTGGCAACAAAATAAGTTTAAATGTTGTAATATTTTGCCCAAACCAGTCCCAGATACTGTTTAATAGCTAAGATGCCAACTACTTTTGTTGTAACAAGCCTAGACCAATTCTATCAAACATGTCCTTGGTTGGATATCCAGTTTCATTTAACGTTTTGAAAGCTCATTTGACAGCCAGTCAAATCCCTCATACAGACTAGTTCCTTGTGTAGCACAAGTGGCTTGAACATACCATGTTCTGTTACGAAGAGACCAAAGACCTAATTCATCTGTCATTTCACTGATGGCCATGGCATTTGGCAAATCCTGTTTGTTTGCAAAAAGCAGCAGCATTGCATCTTTCACTTCATCTTCCTGAAGCATTTTCTGCAGCTCTTCTGCTCCTTCCTGAATTCTTTCATGATCATTGCTATCTACCACAAAAATAAGACCCTGGGTATTCTGGAAGTAATGCCGCCAGAGAGGCCTAATTTTATCTTGATCACCAACATCCCCTACCGCGAAACAAATGTTCTTATATTCTACTGTTTCCACATTAAAATCAATGGTAGGAATGGTGGTAACTATCTCCCCCAACTTCAGTTTATAGAGAATTGTTGTCTTGCCAGCAGCATCCAATCCAACCATCAAAATGCGCATCTTCTTCTTGCCAAAGAGGCGGGAGAAGAGAGAAGAGATGGTGAGGCCCATGGCAGTAGTGGCGCTTGCGATGGGCAGAAGGGGTTTGGGGCGTCCCCAGGCCTTCTCTCTTCACGCTCCCGGCAAATGGGTGACTGGCTCCGCAGCTCCCGGTTTGGCCTTAAGGCTCCTGCTGTGCCACATCACACGACAGCCGCGGCCCCCGGATCGCGTCACCGCCGCCCCATCCCCCTGTGCTCTAATTTTTCTTATTTTTTTGTAGAGACACAGTCTCACTATGTTTCCCAGGCTGGTCTCAAACTCCTGGCCTCAAGCAATCCTCCTGCCTCAGCCTCCCAAAGTGCTGTGATTATACGCATGAGCCATCTTGCCTGGCCTAAAATGGTAAATTTTATGTCACGTATATTTTACCACAATAAAAATTTTTTTAAGGCCGGGCGCGGTGGCTCATGCCTGTAATCCTAGCACTCTGAGAGGCCGAGGCAGGCAGATCGTTTGAGCTCAGGAGTTCGAGACCAGCCTGAGCAAGAGCGAGACCCCGTCTCTACTAAAAAAAATAGAAAGAACTTGGCTGGACAACTAAAAATATATAGGAAAAAAAAAATTAGCCAGGCATGGTGGTGCATGCCTGTAGTCCCAGCTACTCGGGAGGCTGAGGCAGGAGGATCGCTTGAGCCCAGGAGTTTGAGGTTGCTGTGAGCTGGGCTGACACCACGGCACTCTAGCCGGGGCAACACAGTGAGACTCTGTCTCAAAAAAAAAAAAAAAAAAAGAAGAAATTTAAAAAGAATATATAACCAGAATCTAATCATGAGGAAATATTAGACAAAGACAAAATGGGAAATGTTTTATTTCTTTAAAGGAGGGAACATATTCTTGAAAAACATCAATGTCATAAAAGATAAAGCCTGTAGATATGCTCCAGATTAAAGGAGGCTAAAGAGACATGATAACTAAATGCAGTATTTGACCTTGGAAGTGAATCCTGTGCTGGAGGGGAAGAATGCTGTGAAGGACATTGTTAGATCACCTGGTAAAACTGGAACATAGGATGATAGATCAGAAGCATTGTATCAATGTAAATTTCTGAAGTTGATAACTGGGCTGTGGTTATGTAAGAGACTATTGCCATATTCTTTAGGAAATACACACTGAAGTATTTAGAGGGGATATATAACACTCTCCAATAGTTCAGGAGAAATACATATAAATCTAAATCTATACACATATAGAAAAAGAAAGAGAGAGGACAAATGATAAGGCACATGGGTTAAAAAGTTAACAATAAGTGAATCTGGATAATTGATATACAAATATTCTTTATTTTTTATTTTTTTAGAGACAGCGTCTTGCTATGTTGCCCAGGCTACTTCTCGACCTCCTGGCCTCAAGTGATCCTCCTGCCTCAGCTTCATGAGCTGCCAGGTTTACAGGCATGAGCCACTACACCCAGCCACAAATGTCCTTTATACTATTCTTCTTCTGGAACTCTTTCTATAAGTTTAATAAAAAGTTAAAAAATAAAACAAAACAATAATACCTTCATTAGGGTTCTTATATTACATTGTGACTAAGGTTCCACTAGTCTATGAGCAATCACAGACATGAACTGTATCTTATTCACCCTTGCCAGGGCCTGAGGTGGGAGGGTGCCATCGCAGGACAGGACAAATAGTAGGTACACTATGAATGTTTGTTGATTGACCAGAAGCATGCACAAACGAATGCCCCACAAAGAGTGTACTGATGAGGATTATTTCCTCGGTGATAGGTAAGGGCTCAAGGCCAGGCATGGTGGCTCATGCCTGTAATCTGAGCATTTTGGGATGCCAAGATGGGAAGATTGCTTGAGGCCAGGAGTTTGAGACCAGCCTGGGTAACATAGCGAGACCAAATCTCTACAAAAAATTTTCAAAAATTAGCTGGATGTGGTGGCATGTACCTGTAGTCCCAGATACTTGGGAGGCTGAGGCAATAGGATCGCTTAAGCCCAGGAGCTTGAGGCTGCAATGAGCTACGATCACACCACTGCACTACAGCTTGGGTGATAGAGCAAGATCCTGCCTCCAAAAAAAAAAAAAAAAAGATAAGGGTCCAATAAGTGTCCAATTACATTACAGAATCTCTACTGGTGCTCCCATCAAAAATATTTATAGGTTTCTTGATGTTATTTCCTCTTCCCTTCAGGGGTTCATTTGCTATTACAGGCACACCCCTGCAAAGCATGTGTTATGGATTCCTGAGCTCTGAATATGTTAGGGCTTTCCTAAAGTAAAGTCCAAACAATTTTGTGCAGACTGTGTTGAAATTTACTATCTCTTGTTATTTCTATAATTGAGCAGACACCCTGAAAACTTTGTGAACATTCCCACACTGCATTCATGATATGTTTGTAAACCACAAAGAGGTCACATGATTCACTAAGGAAGATATCCAAACAAGTGCCTGCCTCATTGTATCTGCCTCTAATTAAGAGAATGACTTATCAGTAATCCATGACAGTGAATTGCTGTTATTACTGCTTTTGACTTTTTTCACTCATTCATTAAATCAAAAGAATATTTGTTGATTATCTACTATTTGAGGGGTATTGTCCTGATCACTGAAGATACACCAGTGAGCAAAACAGATATGTCCCTGTTCTGATGGAGTCTAGTAGGGGAGATAGACATTAGACAAGTAAGTGCATCAGAGTTTACCTTGAGTAAAACTCAAGTAAAACTCAACATTTTAAAAAATATATTATAGATTCCTGAGCTTCATCTTCAACTGAACACTCAATGTTCCTGGATAGGATTTCTTTAGAAAGTTTGGGTGTAACATTTTGTGGTTTCACAACATTATTGGTTAGACAGTCTTTCTCTATATCTCTTCCTTGAATTGAAAGTTAATGACTTGTCATTAATAGAAGTAATAGAATTAATTCATCAGGAATTTTCTCAGTAATACAAAAAGGAGCCCTGTTTCAGTTAGTGTCCAACGGGAACAGGTGGTGCACTCAATTTTTTTGTAAGAAGAATTGAATAAAGCAACTATTTACAACATTTCGGTAGAACATAGAGAATCCAAAAGTGATACTGCTAGAACCCAAGTGTAACAAATAGGAAGCTGTTAACAGCCTTCTACCTGAAACAGCAAAGGAAGGGAGTGGTTTCCTGCACATGGGTTGGGGGAGAGCAAGTACAATGATGGAAAGGGCTCCCCAACTGGAGGAACTGTGACCTTCTTTCAAGTGAGAGAAAGAGCCAGTCAGCCTACAGAAACCCCTCAGGGAATAAATTAGGGACTAAGTACCCTAACTTCATTCTCCACCATCTCTACAAATTCTTGCCAGTCCTCCCCATCGGCCAAACCCGACCGGAAGCCAGACAGTGTATATGGGTCAGCCTCCCAGAGCACAGAGCAGCATAGAGAGGGGATTTAGAGGAGCAAGTCAATAAAGGCCATGCAACACAGGTTCCTATTATTCCTTCCTGTTTTTCAGTTCAGCCCAGGTCCTGAACTGTTTGACTCAACCTATCTTACATTTTATTTTCTGAACAGTTTCTGACCTTGCCATCTCATGACCCTTTAACTAATTTTCTTCTGTAAAACCGAAGATCATCCTTGGAAGCCAATGCTTGTCACTGCTTTTTACTTGTGGCTTCTGGCTTCCTTCTTCCCTTATCTCTTTGACCAAGATGTTTTCATCTGCTCTGGGTAACCTTGTCCAGTACAGCATGCACTCTGGAACACTCTTTGAGCAAAGGTCTTCATAGCAAGTGCCCCTGCTATATCTGCTTTGGCCCCGTGAGTGGCAACTGGACGTCACAGAGTGAGATGGGAAGCACTTATTTCTGGCAGACTAATAACTCAGATCAGACTCCATTTCTGTTTATTTCCATCCCCCTCTCTTGCCTGGCAACCACACCCATGATTAGGATCACCAAGAACAAAGACACTGAACTCCAAACAACCAGGTTCAAAGGATACCTCATCCGAGGAGGGATGAAAATGATTGGAGAGACTATGCGAACTTGAAGAGCTAGTATTTCTTGCCCATGCTGGATGATGAAATTTAAAAAAAAAAAAGGCAGGCTAGTTAAGAGTTCTAGCACTCATGGAAAAGATAAACTCCAATTTCAGAATAGTGCTTACCTCTAGAGTGAGAAGGAAAAGAGATCTAGGAGAAGTAAAGAGGGCTATATTCAACTGGGCTTATATTTTATTTCTTAATAAATGGAATTCTGAAGCAGATATAGGAAAATGCTAGAATTTAATAATAGTGAGTGGTGGGGTATTACGTATGAAATTCTTCAGCCTTTTCTATGTATGGAGAACGCTGTTGAGGAGAGAACAGGAAGGCCTACACCACAGATGTGACCAAAGAAAGCAGACAGGATGTCAAAAATAGTACAATTATTTGTTTGCAATGGTCTGAATGGTGTTCTGGGAGCATGTTGCTTCAGTCTAGCCACAGGCTGAGGCCTCAAGGAACTCTGGAGTCATGATGACACTAGCAGTGTGGAGGCTCTGTAAAAGCATTTCTAGCCTTGCTCTACGTAGGAGACAGTTCCCCGTAGTAGATAGGAGCCAGTCTGTACAGCCAGCCTGCCTAGGGTAGATCTTACTGGCATTTACTGGCTATGTCACTTTACCTCTCTGTATCTCAGTTCCCTTGTCTTTAAATGTGATGAGACTGTCAACCTATGTCAAAGGATTGTTGTGAGCATTATGGCCACGGACTGATTACACTATTTTTATTCTATTATTCTCCCAGACGAGCTGAACCAATGGGAACAGTCCACTAGGACAAGGATTGCCAAAATTTTTCTATAAAGGGCCACATAATAAACATTTGACACTTTGCAAGCTATACAGTCCCCGTCCCAACCACTCAAAACTGGTATTGTAGTGAGAAGGCAGCCATGGAAAATACATAGACAAATGGGCATGGCTGTGTTCCAATAAAACTTTATTCACAAAAATAGGCAGCAGGCACATGATGCTGTAGTGTGCCAATCCTTTCTATGGAATTTCAAATGCTTGGATGTTACACTTATCTGTTAGAATGGTGGATGGCCTAGGCTATTTGGGGTGAGTGGTACACATTCCTAAGCCCTGTTTGGACCCTTACAAAAAACTGTAATGTGCCTGCCTTCAAAAAAAGAGACGTTGGCCAGGCACAGTGGCACACACTTATAAGCCTAGTGCT